CGGCGGTGGTGTGTGCGGTGCGGTGCGCGTGTGTGTTCTTGGCCGGCAGAAGGTAAGGGCTCGCCGCTGCGGTTGGACTATGGCATTTGGAGCATCCAGGGGCGGCGAAAGACGCAGGAGGACGCCCACTCGGCCGTGCCCAAGCTGCTGTACCTCTCTTTCTCTCTCGTGTGTGTGTGTGTGTGTGTTTGTGTGCGTGTGCGGTGCTGATCGCACACGTACTCAATAACAACGTACAGTGAAGGAGAAGAGGAAGAGGAGGCCCAGCGCCCGTTCGCCTTCTTCGGCGTCTACGACGGCCACGGCGGCGAAAAGGTGACCGCCCCGTTGCTCAGCGCCTCGCGTCGCTCACAGCTTCCCCTTTCGCGTTGCTGCTCACCCCGGCCGTGCCCGTCTCTCTCGACAAACCAGGCCTCGGAGTGGGTGGGCCAGCACTTTGACAAGATCTTCGGCGACAAGATCACGCAGAGCGGCAACCAGACATCGGCCGGTTCGCACTCCACCACCTGCCCACCGCAGCCCCCGGGGAACCGGCACTCAGATCACGAGCGGTGCTTTGTTTGTGCACCGCACACGCAGAGGTGCTCTCCAAGGCGCTGCGGGAGGCGTTCCTCGAGGTCGAGGACCAGTGGATGGGCATCGCCGACCAGAAGAAGGAGTGCTCCGGTACCACACACTACACGCCACACACGCGCACACCGCACACACGCGCGGGTGGAGCTCACGCTACGCTGTCGATACGCGCGAACAGGTACCACCGCTGCGGTTGTGGTGGTGAAGGACAACGACATCATCGTGGGCAACGTCGGCGACACCGAAGTAGTCGTCGCCGCCTCCGGTTCGTTACCATATTTCTATATTTTTTTATATATATTTATATTTATTTTTGTATATTTATATTTATTTGTATATTTATTGTTTATTTTCGTCCTATTGGCGGGGAACCAGATGAAGCGGAGCAGCTGCAGGCCATCGCAGTCACCGAGGTGCACAACCCCAAGAAGAACAAGGCCGAGGGCGAACGAGTCGTACGCCTGCATCCCCCCTCTCCCTCTCCTCCCATCCCCTGCGAGGCGTTGGTGGTCAACGTACGTCTCCTTCCTCCTCCAGGTGAAGGAGGGCGGCATCATTCACCGGGACCGAGTGGGCCACCCCCAGTTCAACCCGGACCTCATGTCCATCGCCATTTCCCGTGCCATGTACCCCACCACCACCCACCCACACACTGCAAGCTACTCGCCTCACCTGCTGCTGACCGCGGTGCTGCGTGGGGTGGTGGCCATGTGTGTGGCAGTGGCGACTATGGGTTCAAGGCCAAGGAGTTCACGGGTGGCAAAAATTCGGGCCTCATTGCCGGTACGGACGAGCCCCGGATGTTTGTTGTTGTGCCTTTAGAGGGTCCCTCATCACATCAACTGTTGTGTGCTCTTGTCGTCGTCGCGTTTGTGTGTGCAGAGCCCTACGTGACGACCCTCACGCTGCAGCCCAACAAGCACAAGTTCTGCATCATCGCTTGTGACGGCGTACGGCCTGGCCCTTTCCCACGCGCGCGCGCTGTTGTTCTGAGTGCTCACGCAACGCTCGTGTGGTGGGTGTGGTGCAACCCTTTTCTTGCTCTCTGTTCAGCTGTGGGACGTGATCACGGCCGACGAGGCGGTGGCCTTCATCGCGAAGGAGCAGGCCAAGGAGGACAGCGACGCGGAGGACGCGGCCAAGGCGCTGGTGGAGGCCGCCTACAAGAAGGGCAGCACGGACAACATCACCGTCCTCGTCATCTACTTCCACTGGGACCGCCAGCAGCAGCAGTAAATGCGAAGAAGAGAGAAAGCGATTGGGTGTAAAACAAATAAATAAATATACCAATTTAGCTCTATTTATCTCTGAGTGTTGGTTTTAATTATTTGTTTTATTGAAAAGTACAGGTTTTCGTATGTTACTTTTAGTTGTTTTTTTATTTGGTTTGTGTTTTTGGTGATTTCGTGGTGAAGTCGTGCCTGGCTGCGATGGCAAGTGATGAAGTGGGGGTGAAGGTGGCCGAGGAGGTGAGGATGGTCACGCGCTGAGTGAAGGTGGCGGTGGTGCCGTGGATAAGAGGGTGTCGATGGCGGTACGCGGTGGTGGGCTGGGACTGGCGATGACGGGCGGTGTGTGTTCGTCGTCGAATCCGGCGCGAGTGTCTTCCATAGTCGCGCACGGTGGACGGCGTGCAGAGGCGAGGAGTCGAAAAGAGAGAAGAGAGAAAGAGGAGAGAAGAGGAATAAATAAATAAAGTCCTCGCCTCCGCTCCGCCGCGCACCAGTCCCGGTCGCCCTCCCACCGCTGTCGTCGTCGTCTTCTCGTAGTCTCTGTCGCCTGTCGGTAGAAGCGAATGTACATTGGAGAGCGATGTCGCTCGCGACGGCTGGTCGACGTTGTTCAACGCGGCGGCGACGGCGGTTGCGGAGTAGAGCGCCCCGCCGTCACCGGTCGTGGTCGTGGTCGACGCCGTCGGGGTTGAGTCGCGCCCCGCTGGGAAGAAGACTGTTCTCCCAGAAACCCGAATCGCAGAGGTCGATGAAGAGCCGGACGTCCGCTCGAACCCTCGGTTGATCCTCGCACCGGTCGCCGTCCTCTCGCCGCATTTCTTCCACTTCCACCTCCTCGCTACTCCCTTTCTGTCACTCTCGATCACTTGCTGTTGCGGTTGCACGCCTCCTCCTCCCACCCTCTCTCCCTCTTCGTTGTGTTGCTCGTCGGTGGCACCGACTAGCCGCTGCTGTAGTAGGACCCGTCGTCGGAATAGTTCATCTCCTCGCCGTCCTGCGGCGTTTCGAGCTCCAAGAATTCTTCGATCCACTGCTCTTGTGTTACTCGCTCAAACTCTCGTTCTAAAAGTGTGTACGGGGAGAGGAAACGGTTAAGGTTGCTTGTTAGTCGGGTGACGTTGAGGGGTTGGTAGCGGACCGTCCAATAGGGATGGATAGATAGGGATGGATAAAGGAGGGGAAGTCTTGTCCAAAGACTTTGTGTCGTTACCTAGCCTTCGCTCCTGGTCTTCATACTCCCGTTCACCATCGCTCCCCTCACCACTCCCCCTCATGTCCATCCGAGAAGTATCGAATATAGATGACAGGAAAGTATCCTTACCGACTTGGAGGAAGGGTGAGTTGATTGGCCTCAGATCCTGCTTCTTCTGCGAGAAGTCGACCTTCTCCTTGAAGGGCGCTAGGATCGCGTTACCGCCCCTGTTGTTGTTGATGAGAAGGCGGCGTGAGCGGTGCGCTTTGATTTTAAATAGAGAGGCCAGAACTGGTGAAGCAAGCACCAGAACTGGTGAAGCAAGCACGTACTTGAAAGGCGAATAAATTATGCCGTCTTCCGCACATGCAAAAAGGTCGCCTTGACAGGCCTGTGGCATTTGAGCATGTGCTACCACTTGCCTGCATAGATGAACGCGAGAGTGAGCACTTGTCGACGATTGGCCGCCACCATGTACGCACTAAAGCCGCAAGTAACGCGCGATCGAACTTACCGTTGGTACATGTCGTCGGGAATGGCCTTGGGAGTCGGTTGGTTGCTCCTCAAGACGCCCAGCTCTCGTTCCGTGTGGACCAGCTTTTCGCGAAGAAGCTTCGATTCGAATTGACTCCGGCTGAGTTGCTCTTTCAGCTCTGTGAAAGCGCGCGAGGTTGCAGACAACATTCATGATGAGAAAAGAGATCTCTCGTGCTAAGGGGAGGGGGTCGGGCGCGCAACGAGTAGAACAACGAGGAGGAGGGCTGCGGCGTCGTACCGTCAAGCTGCTTCTGGAGGTAGTCGGCCTTTTGCGAGGCCTCGTAGGAGGAGATGACGGCAACCTTGTCGTCGCAGGTGAACTTGCCGTTTTCGTCGCGGGATCGGTTCTGCGCAGCCTGGGAGAGCCTCTGGTCGGGCATTCGAGACCACTTGCGCTTCATTCGCTTCTCGCGGTAGCGCTCGAGCTTCTCCTCGTACTCTGACTTCTTCTCGGAGCCGCCCATCATGGGGTAGGCCGGCGTGCCGGGCGTCGACTGAGGCAGAAGCGGGGTGTGGAGGGGGGTCGAGGAGGCGGTAGAGGTGGACTGGGGCGTAGGGGGCTGCGAGCGCTGGTGGGGCGCCTGGAAGTTGGGCATGGGCATCTGCTGCCAATTGATGGGGCGGAGAAGCTGAGGGCCGATCTGTTGCGGGGCCATGGCGGAGGGCGGCATGATGATCTGAGGGTAGGCCAGAGGCGAGAAGGGCAGGGGGCAGGCGGTCCAGAAGGGCACGAATGGATACTGGATCACCGGCTGGAAGGCCTGTTGCTGCTGATCGTTGCTAGCGCCGCCGTTGGCGCTTCGCTGCGCGGCGTGGCGGGGCTGCGGTGGCGATTGATGAACGGGGATGGTCTGGACGGAAGATTGCTGCTGCGCCGCCTGTACTTGCATCATTTGAAGCAGGTAGGGATTGAGCTGAAGACTGTCGCTGAGCGAAGTAGGAGGCTGGGGTTGCGGTTGCGGTTGCTGCTGCTGCGGCTGAGGCTGGGTTGGCTGCGGCTGCTGCATGGTACTCCAGTTCATCATGAGGACCCGCTCCAAATTTTTCAATTCGTCCGAGCCCACCTAAGATGATCACCATCATCGCGATGACAACAACACCAAGATCACTGGGGTAAGCTCGGTGTGGCTTGTTGAAAACCGAAAAACAAAATAATAAAAATAAAAAAATCCGAACATGGTACGGTGATCTCCCAAGCCGCGAGGGGATGTACCATTTCGAGGGCTGGTCGCTGGTTCCAGGCAGCGTTGTGCGCATCCGCGTTCTGGCCGAAAGCCAGCTGGTGTGAAGGATCCATTGCCTGATCATGCCACCGCGAGGTTAGAAAATCGACTTACACTGGTTACCGCGTCGAGAGCGGCTCACAAATTGACGAAACAAGAGAGCTACAGATTGGCATTTAACACTATCTATATCCAAGGGGTATCAATGGACCCACGAATTAGGAAAGTTAAAGGCAATGCGTAGTCGACTGTGCATTAGAGGGGGTAAATTGTATATAGCTGCTATATACACATCCCTCCCGTGTAAATTTGAACTACAAAGAAGTAGTGGTAACCTTATTGGGGGATGAGAAGGGGGGCCAAGGAGCAGGGATCAATTTTGCGTACCTTTTCTATTGCTTTCTCGCGACGCTCGATCGAGGGTGTGGGAGAAAGAGAGAATAGAATCAAGGCACGAATCGACTCGAAGGAAGAAGAATTATACGCTAGCAATTAAATCGATTGAAGGCCACTCCACTACTCGCGCGGTGTTGCGGCGTCCACGACCTTGTTGCGTCACGTTCAAGGCAAACCTCTTTTTCTCGTCGCTGCGTGGCTGTGTTCTGGGGCCGCGTATGGCGTCAGATGTTTCTTCAGCGATTGGCGGCCGGTCGACGCAAATCGTCGAAAAAGGCGTTGGCTGTGGCGAAAATGTGGCTGGGGTGGTGGGAATTAACCCGGAATGGTGCGGCAACACCCGGAATCGGGGTGAAAAATTCGTTAATTAATTGAAAAATTCAAATTTTCGAGAGTTTGCGTTGGGTGTCCGTTGGCCTGGCGCCAACGGCGCAGAGCCACCCGAGTGGCAGACCAAGAGGAAAACGACAAAGAAGGGGTCGCGAATGTACACTCCTCCGGTTTCATCATCAAAAATAAATAGAACATAACATGAAGCTGCGTACACAGCACGCACCCGGATCAGAGGCCCGAGTACCTGTCGACTCGCTCTTCCTTCCCTTTCGCAATCTCGCCTTCGTTTTCGGTCTCTCGCGCAGTGTCTTCGTCCGTTCCTCGCCCCTCCACGTCCTGGTGAGGAAGCAGAAAAGCGGGAGAGTCCGTGAGAAGTAGACAGGCCCCTGCTGCAAAGCGCGCCGGGAGGTACCTTGGTTGTCTGAATGGAAATGGGCATCGTCTCCTCTTCGCTTAGCGCGACCGCCTTCTTCCCGTGCCTCCTGTTGTTGGCAATACGCGCGTGGCGTGGTGAGCGAAGTAGCATCACAGCCCAGCACAAATTGTGCCCGGCACAACGCGACAGCAGAAACGACGTACCGGCTGTACCAAAACTCGAAGTACAGCAACAAGGCGAGCAACACGAGCTGCTGCACACCGGCAGTGAAGTAGGAAAGCCAAGTGGATACCTATTATTTCGGGTCATAAGAGAGGGGAGGGGGGCGATGAGTGAGAGCCCGCCTTGACATCACAAAAGAGAGACCTGCAAGGAGACGTACATCCTCGCTAGCGACGAACAAGAGAAAATAGACCACCACCATTGTGCCCGGGGCTTGGATTGCAAGCGTCAAGATCGAAAAGGCTCCCACAGCCTGGATTTCACGAGCCACTGGTTAGGCTGATCACCTACGCTCGAGCAGTTGAAGGAGGTGACGCACCTTGAGCTTCCACGTTTTCCAGATCTGGGGGCTCCACTGAATGAACGTCACAGCCGTGGCCAGGATGCCCACCTACGAACGCAACGCGAATGCACGTGTGAGTGCTGACACCAGGGTGAAGGAGTAGATCTAGGTCGGCCGTACCCCCCAGCCGTAGTTGAGCGTGGGTGAACCGCACTCACCAAAGACCCACAACATCAAAATGCTGGAACGCGCGAGAGAGCAAGGTCATCACAAGGCAGGGAGCGGTTATGCGCCGAAGCGGCCTTAAGAGATGGAGGATGGGGGGGGGGAAGAGGATGTACCCGATGCCGCTCATGATGAGGGCATAGAAAATGAAGCCGATGAACAGCGCCCGAGCGATGAGCCAATCCCTGTCCATCTGTTTGGGATCGGTCTTGAACTCTGGCGTTCGGTGGAAGAAAAGGAGAAACCAAACGAACCTGTTCACGTTCATTCGACCATTCAGCATGCACGTATGGGGGAAAATGCAGCCGGAAGAACGAACACGAAATGAAGAGGGAAACGCACACAGGGAAAGTGGCCACCCACGCCCCCAGCAGCTGATAAAGAGTGAGCAGACTAGGCGTGCAGTCCAAAATGCCCTATGGAGATGATAGCAAGAAGTCAGCCACACGACGCCAACCTCAGGTAAGGAAGAATTAGGATCCAGAAAAGTGATGGTACGGTTTCGAAACAGGCTTGAAACTGAGGGAACTTCAAGATGAAGGCGTTGAGGACCGCGGAAAACTGCAACGGGAGAAAGAGTGAGTGAGCAAGAAACGCGGCCTGCGTTAGAGAGAAGGCAAAGAAACTCACACGGCGTCGTGTGCTCTATGGCTTCTAAGATCTTACCTGACAGATGTTGGAGAGGAAAAGCATGTAGAAGCTCAGGCCAGCGCTGTTTTTTGTTCGCCACATTTTGATGTGCTGCACGAGGGCAATGAGATGAAAGAGTGGTCACCAACAGGGCGCAAGGTGGAATGCAGGCTGACGGGGTTGGAAAGAGAGGAAAGAAAAACATGAGAGAAAGGAAGAGTTTGGAGCGGTACCTGTGGGACGAGGGCCAGCATGCCGGCGAGCCACAAGAACACGCCCAAGGCGATGGAGAAGTTGTTTAGCTCGTCCAAGCTTTCGGCGAAGTCAGGTCTCTCGTCCTAAAGCACCACCGCATGCGACCATGCCAACGGCGAGAGGCCAGAACATGAGAACACGCAAAAGGCCTGTGCGTCGGAAGGCCGCGGGAAGAACGAACGCGAGACCCCCCCGGGGGGGGAGGAAGGAAGGTAGAGAGCCGTACCTGGTCCTTTTTGTCACAAAACTCGGTTGCTCCCAGCAGCGAACGGCTCTGCCATACGAATCCCTCCATCTATAAATGAATGAAGTAATTGTCAGATTATAGATGTGGATTGTAAAGAAGAGATCAATTAGGTTGGAGATGTGAACCAGGTTCGTATGTTGGCCGAAAGAGGCAAGGACGGTAACACAAGATGGAGGCCCGCTCTTGCGGATTGGTGTTCTCTTTTTCTTTTGTTGAGATTTATTTTTCATAATCTTGCATTCCGCGCCTGCTAGACATTTATTGCATTCCAAACAACTTCCTTTTTTCCTCCATTTTCTTCGAGGTGCGTGCCCCTGTTTCTTGTTCGCCACGCGAGAGCATTCAAGCCCGGTGGGGTCGATGGGCTAGGATACATGCACATTGTTTTTGGTAATGTAAGTGTTGTACAACAAACTATGTGCCATATGTGCCGTCCATCACCGGGGAGAGGCATCGCGACAAGTCACGCGCAGAGCTCTGTGCGGCCTGCCACCCGGCGTGCGTCGCTCGCAGAGGGCAGCCTCGAGCAGCTTCTGCTGTCGTCGCTTGCTCTCCGCCTCCTCTCCCTCCCTCTGACTGTCCTGGTCCAGTTCGACTTTTTCTTCATCGTCCTCCTCCTCATCATCGTCGCTGTCACCCTCGTCATCTGACGACTGGTTCCCGTACTTGCGCTCCTCCTCCTCTCGCTCGGCCGAGTTGAGGAACTCCATGAGCTGGCCCAGCACGCCATCGATAGCTTCGCTGCAGGCCTCGAGGTTGATCATCTTCACGAAGGGCCAGGCCTCGCTCCCGGCGCCCTCCTCCATCACCCCCTCGCCCTCGCCCGCGCAGTACTCGTCGACCGGTCGGCGCATGAAGTGTGCGCCGAGCAGCTGCTCGCGGCTCGCAATCCGCAACAGCTCCCAGCTCAGGTCGACCAGTTCGAGCACACAGTCCTCGACTTCGCTCCTGAACTGCTCCTCCTCCTCTCGCTCCGCTGCTCGGTTCTCCTTCTCCCTCATCATCTCCGTCGTCGTCGTCGTGGTGGTGGTGGTGGTGGTGGTGGTCACTGTCGTGGTGGTGGTGGCCGCCGCCTTCTTCTTTTCCTCCTGGCGGCAGCAGCGCACCAGCTCCAAGCCCTGGCTCACGCACAGCTCGGCGCAGGCCCGCATGTGCTGCTTGTCGCAAAGGAGGTGGAAGGCCAGGCTCTCCGATGCCATCGGCGCGGCCCTGGGCCTGTTGCTGTACGGGCCGCTGTTCTTCGTTGTGGTCGTCGCCATCTTCAGTGCCGCCATGATGTGGTTGGGATGTGGACCAGTTGCTCACTAAACTGGTTGATGTAGCTTGGCCGCACGTGTGTGTGCTGATGGTTCGGCGATGATCGAGGGCTGATGAGAAGAGAGAACTAACCGCGAAAGGCGCCTTCCTTGCCCTTTGTTAGGCACTCAGTCTCTGAGTCAGCCACTCGTCATAGCGTAGAAAAGTTTACGCCACCACCAGTCATTCCACGCGACAGAACGCAAACGCGGCGCTAGGAGCAGCGCCACTGGCCGCACGCGCACGGGAAGCCGGGCGAAAGAACTGCTCGACCTGGGCAACCAACGGCGTTGGGGCGGTACACAAATGCGCACGTGTGTGATGATAATTGATAAACTTGCCACCAACTTGCGTCGTATTTGCTGGCTTGAAGCGCTCAACTTGCACAGAAGGAGGCCACTTCTGTGCTGTTGCGTCAGTGCGAGGAGTGGCCACACCAAACACCGCACAGAGAAGAGGACGAGGACCCAGCGAAGTTGACGGCAAAGTCCCCTTCTCGGAGTAGCGGAGAACGAGGAAAATCAAAAGAAATTTTTTCTTTGGGCTGCGAATTTTCTTTTTCTTTTGGGCTCAATTTGTAGTACCTTCGCAGCCACCACGTTGTGGGTCCTCCCCAACGCGCTGCTGACAAAAAATGGGGGTGGACGAGGCACGGACCAAGTACGCTCTCAAATGGGAGGCACTGCGTGAGCGGGTGCAGGCGAGCAGAACCTACGACCTCCTCGCCAGGTGCCCATCTCCCCTCTTTTTTAATTACAAATTTTAATCATTATTAATATTAGGCAGATACATTTTTATCAAAATGTGGAGGGCGTTCTAAGACTAATGCGATGGGGACTTCAGGGTGTACGCCAACCCTGTGTTCAAGCTGTCGTGGTTCCCGCTGCTCACCCTCCCATTGCTCCTGCTGGACCACAATGACGAGCGCAAATGGCGAACGGCCTGGGTCGCCGGCGTCATGGGTTTGGTCTCCCTCTTCTCTCACTTGATCCTGCGTGCACGACACCCTCTCACTTCTCCTTTGGTCGTGTGGTGGGTGGTGGTGTGCAGCCTTCTACTGGATAACGGAAGTGCTGCCCATTCCTGTTACGGCCTTCCTCCCTCTGGTCCTCTTCCCTCTCTTCAACGTCGTACCAGCCAAGGTCGTGGCCGAGGTCTGTCGCTCAACCAACCCCTTCACCATCCTTCCTGCCCTGCCCTGCCCGCTCTTGCTCACACCGACTCTTCTTCTTCTTCTTGTCGTTGATGGTTAATGTTGTATTGCTGTCCGCACGTGCGCCAGGCATATATCAATGACACCCTATTTATATTGATCGGCTCCTTCATTGTCGCGTTGGCGATGGAGCGCTGGGGTCTCCACACGCGCGTGGCTCTCCGGGTATTGAACCCCACCCACCCATCCGTCGCAGGTCTGTCGCGATTGACTGACTGATCAACTGACAACCCCGCTGCAATGTCGACTTCAGGTGGTGTTGCTTATGGGCCACTCCCCGCGACGGCTCTTGGCGGGCTTCATGAGCCTCACCGCCTTCATCTCGATGTGGATCAACAACACCGCCACCACTTCATTAATGGTTCGTTCACGGCACGCACGCACGCACGCTCCCTCCTTCCTCTCTTTTGCCTGGCCTTCAACTGATGCCTCACCGCCTTCATTTCGCATTAGGCGCCGATTGCGCTCGCGGTATTGACCCAGATCAACGAACAAATCACGGATGAGGGCGACGTCGAGCGAAGCGACGCGAACAGCGAACAGGTCATCGGTGAGGATGATGGAACTGCACGACGAACGGATAGCCACCGCGCTGCTGAGGAGCGGCGGAAGCTGAAGACCAAGCGCGACAAGGGCATCAAGTACCACACACTCGCGCACGGAGCCGGCGAAGGCGCAGCTGCGGCGGGCATCGTCGAGCAGAGCGATGACGAATGCGATACCGAGAGCGACGAGATCGCCGTCGCGAGCGTGCGAGTCAGCCAGGGGTCGTCCGCGAGTGAGTCCGACAACAAACCGGACGGAGGCGGCGACTACGACGGCGACGGCGAAGGTCATCAAAGGCACAGCCGAGCCGATCGGGGCATGGACCTGCGGGGTGCCACGCAGAGCTCCAGCAGTCTCGAAGACATCGCTCTCAGGGATGCCGACCCTGACGTGGTCGACGCCACCGACCCCTTTGTCGCCCAGCCCTTCTCCGCAGATGTACGCATCATCAGCCCCCCGAAGAGTGGCCGTACACTACGTTGGCTCGCGTCTGATCATAATTAATTGTTTCCCACTCACAGGAGCGGAAGGAGAAGATGGACCTGTTCGTGAAGGGCATCCTGCTGTCGGTGGCCTATTCGGCCTCGATCGGCGGCACGTCTACCCTCGTCGGCACGGCCCCGAACCTGGTACTCGTCAACCAGTTCGCGGCCATCTTCCCGCTGGCTCCCGCTATTTCCTTCTTCAAATGGTACGTACCTGCACTATCCTCGCTCACCTCACACTCGCACCTTGTTTGATGCTTGAGCGTTCATCGTTCTAACTCGGTAACCGTTGTTTGCCACAGGTTCCTCTTTGCCACGCCGCTGGCTATTATTTTCCTGATCATTTTGTGGTTCTACTTTTCGTACTTGTACTGTCCCAACCCTGAGCTCATCAGTACGGTCCAGTCCTCCTCCTACTGGGTACTTTGACGTCGGCGG